TTTAACATTAGCTAATAAAGACTGCCCGGCTTCACTCCAGCATTCTGGTTTTAATTAATCGGAATTAGCATATACATCTCCATGCGCTCTTTTTTTCCCTTTGTGGGCTCGGCCACTTTGAAGAAAACCTCGTTGGCATGCCTTCCTGGTTATTCTATATCTTGACGTTAAAAAAAAAAAAAAAAAAAAAGACAACCCTGAAAACCAAAGTAGCATAAAACTCCCACGCACACAACAGGATTAGCTGCTCCGGTGCTGGGGAGCCCTGGGAGAAGCTCTCCCTGCCTGCCGAGAGGAGCTGCTGGGGAGGCGTCCAATTCCCAGCCCTCCGTCCCTTCCCTGGCGTTTGCACAATCCGGCTGCAGCGACTTCCCGGTCCTAATTGGAGCCTCTGGGCATTATTGTGTTATTATTATTTAATAAACAACCACATAAAACGCTGGTTGACATTTAAATAAGAGTAAAGAAAGGGAAGCTCTGACTCCTAGGCTGTTTTGTTTTCCTGTTGACTTTGGTGGAAGCCGGCTTTCTGTGCAATACCTGCGCTGGCATGACACACGCTCACCCTCATGGTTTGGAGGAAAGCACCAATGCGGATGAGTGGGGCAGACCTACTGCATCTTCCAGCCCCTGTCACAACATAAAACATAACCTGGGCATACCCAAGTAAAGTGCATTAATGACTTTTCCTGCTGGAGTTAGCCTGAGCGAGTATTCAGCGTCGTTTCCTACATTGTTACCCGCAGCATGTAGTTTCTAGCGGTTATCTGAAAGGCACAGCCATCATCGGGATGCTCTTAGCGGGAATAAATGGAAGGGAGAACTTTGTTTTTGCATTCGATCGTAAGTTTGAGACATTTCAGAATAGGAGTTATCCTGACAAAAGAAAACATTCTGTCCTTGAAGTGAACGCAGAGGAGCACAGCTCGTTCAATAAGGTTTTGAAAGAAAACAAAGAGCTGAAGGCCAGAACTGACTCCTTCAGAAAGAAGTATAAAATGAGACAGGGCTCAGAGCGCTTAAAATACTTCGGTGACAGGCAACAAAGAAATGCCTGTTACCATAATTGCTTGAATTAAGTAAAGAGCCAGAAAATCTTGAGAACTTTTTAAAAAGTAGAGGTTTGATGTGTGGGGAGTGTAAGAACAAAATTCTCTCGGGCCATGGCCGGAGCCCTGAATCAGCAGAACTCTTTTCCTTGAAGAAAGTGAAAAGTAGAGGAGGGTGAGTACATACACCCTTATTATCCTTGCTCATTGTGGATCAAAGAGGTGGAATTCTCAGGGCTGCCAGCTCGCCAGTTTCCTGCAGTGAATCTGGTGCAGGTTGGGCTTAGTTCTCTCTGTTGGGCAATCTCTCAAACACTCTAGATGATCAGGTCCTATAAAGGACTTCTTATGAGATCTGAATCTTATTTACTGGCTTGTATGTGGTATAAATATTTTAAAAGCATTCAGTAGGAGTGAAGCATTCCTGCCATTTACAAAAATTATATACATGTATGCTTTAATTCCAGGGAGTTCACCCCCTGTTCTTCCCACCATTTCATTACATGCTTGTTCTCCCTGTGTTTTATATATTAAATGCCTCGTGGACTGGTTCGCTTGCATTTACATATGTGGACGGTAATGATTCTGTGATGTTGCTTGGAACTTCTGCATGAACATGTTATATAAAGGCAGTGTGGGCATGACAAATGTATTGCAGATTCTTCACAGATAAACACAGTCAGTGATGGCAAATATGAATGAAGCTATGTGCAAGTTTTAATATCTAGGCAGAGCTTTTAAGTGCGTAACACCTGTAACCACAACTGTCAGTGCAAACAGGGAAACTAGTTTTAAGGCATTTGAGCTGATTTAAAAGTGCTGGACTTTGAAATACTTCAGCTGGCGTGGTGCAGATGTGTTCGTCCTCCGGCAGGTATTTAAGTGCATAAACTCTGTTATTAAAGAATACAAACTTTATTAGCAGATGATATACCAGAGACGTTGGGAAAACAGGTATCTGAACAGTGAGACTGCCTTATGAGGCGAGCTGTGGGTTTAAAGACATGTAAATCTTACTGGGAAATGGATTAAAAAGAGAGGGTTGATGGTCCCAGGGAGCTGAGTGTTAAGCACAGAGAATTTTTTAGGTGCCAAAATGGAAATGTACAGGAGGGGTGGTGGATTTGCATCAGTATCCGTGTAGCTGGTAGTAGGGTTAGATCAGAAGCAGCGAGCTTTCCTATGAAAGACACTGCAGGGCTATGCAGCATAAGGAGAGAACGGGGCCGTTAGAACATGGACTGTAGTAATCTCCCCCTGAAGGGAGACTGAGCGACTGTTTCCTGTGAGAGTACTGAAACAATAGTAAATTGCTACCAAAAATGTAGAGAGATGCATCCTGAAAAGTTTTCTGCTGCATTTTATCAAGGTTGTTCATGTTGCAGGAAGAAGAAGGTACATGGCAGTGCAAGAGTTTAATCAGCACAAAGGCAAAACAAACCTCTCAGCCTTTTCTTTGTGCAAGAATACAAACCTTTGCTTGTTTTGTTATTCGTTGAAGGTAAAGTTGGCATGAACTGGCCTGCAGAAAATTTCCTAAATGTGGAGTTCAGGTTCAACATGTGAAGGAAATTTGTTTTCAAATTGACAGGTGTCCACCTGCTCAATCTAAATAACACCGTATTAAGTGTCTGTTGAACTGCTGGAAGGAAAGTTATGTTTTGTAGGGAGAGAAAATGAAATTATCTTTGTGATTGCATCTCTTATTAGAGCTCAGTCCGAGCTGTTATTCATGGACAATCAAAAGAAGTCCATCTTCAAAATGTCCAGTAGATTGAAGAAGCTGGGCTGGGAGCACCTCATTTGACAAGCTCGCCTGTTGTTTGCTCCTGCAGAGTACCTGGAAACACCAGTAAAAACAAACAAACAAAAAAAAAAACCCACGAAAATAGTCCCATTGTTTTTTAGAAACTATTTTGTCTGTATAACATTAGGATGATGTCAGAGGTTGATTATTAGTTAGGTTGTCCCAATAAGAACAATTAATTTGGGGGCAAAAGGCGGTGAGGACCCTGTCAGGCACTGAACAATGTTTTTGGTTTTCATGCACTGAATCATCAGTGTTTATAGGCCTCCAACATGTAAATCACCCTGAGGTAATCTGGAAGGGAAGGATATGAATAAGCCAATTAAATTGGCAAAGAGCCTAAGGAACACCCTGTTTAGGGATAAAATCACATGCCTGTCCTAGTGCCAATAGTTTGGGAGAAAGAAATTAAGTTCAAACCTTTGTAATTCATTTCTTTGCATAGAGACATGATTTAGAAGACTTTGGTCTTCTCCTTTTGTGTGTGCGAGATCAGGTGACTGAGATAAGGTAGTCAGCAATGTGTTTTGTGCAAGTAACTTTTATTTTGATGACACAGAAGGATGCCATCCAGGTTGCAGAGGGTGTAGGAACTGGTTGCCTCACTTATGGTAATTATTTCTTATTCAGTTTTATGATACGAGCATACAAAGGACTGAATTGCCCTTTACCTTTCTAAGTACCTACCTTTTTTTTTTCCCTCCCTTTGGAAAGGGAGGCACTATTTTCCATCCGGAAGCCTTCTCCACCCAACTCAGCAGTAACTAGCATACTTTAAGATGCCTTGTATCTAAATAACAAAAACAACTGCTCTCTTCCCACCACATGCCAAGCCCATGCCTTCGAAGATGTGAGGTAACGGGGAAAAAAGGCAGAGGTGAAGAAATCTTTTCTCTGGAAGTTGTGCAGAGGAAATAGTATTTGCATTCTTTGTTTACTTTTCACAGTAGGAGTGGGCAAACGGGTCCTTTTTGTGTTTTTGAGAGGCTTGCTGTACTTGCTGGAAGTCTAGCTAGATATTTCTCCCATCCTGCCCAGATCTTTGAACTCAAAGGCCAGTTCCAGTCAGGAAAATAGCTGGCTCTCTAGAAGAGACATACCCTGCACATGCCTCCTCTGGCAGAAAAGCTCAAGCAGAAACCGTGGTTGACATCAGACAATTTACGTGGGAGTGGAACATCATGACCTCCCCAAGTGTGGGAGAAGCTCTAATTGGCATTTGTACACTATTAGGCATCAGAGATATGTCATAAACACAAATCCATAGGAAATCAGGAGTCACCAGATACACTTTTCACTTGTTTAAGGCACTTTTGGGCCTTAGTTCTACAGACACCATTAAGAACAGGGAAGATGCAACTTCTCTTTCTTCTCCATCCTCTTTGGTCTTCTAGACTTACGTTCCTGGTTGAAGGGACATAAGTCCCAGAGAACAAAACCATCCAGAAAGCAACGGAGACATCAGGTCACTGGAGGCACCACCTAACACCCCTGTGGATGCCTTGCAAGTAACAGCACCAGGAGATCCTAAATACAGATGCGTGGACTGGCAGAAGACCCAGATAAACACAGCCATTCAGGATGGTTTAGATTCCTTTCGCCTAACCCCAGCCATCTGATAGCTCGCCATCCAGCCTCAGCTGGTCTCCACTCCCTGTGGAGACAAAGAGGCACCTTCCAGGAACAGTTAATTCCAGCCCAGAATAAGCACAAAATGGGTGTGATGAGCTTTTCTTTTTCTGTCTTCATGCTTTGTGTGCTGAGGAGGCCTCGATGATGACCTGAACTTACTAGAGAGCTCGTGTTCAGCGAGGTGAGGCCCACCTGGGTGCTCAGCTCCCTTGGGGCCTGCCCATGTGTTGTTAGCAGTGAAGCAACCTCCCATTACCAGAGGAACGCTTGAAGCTTTGCACCAGAGGGTCCCTACAAGGGTGCCCTTCGTTTTGAGCTGGAACTGAGTGGATCTGGAAGTCCACTCAGCCTCTCGGCGATGTCTCTGGCCCTTACTCATTTTCAGCCATTCAGAGACACTGCTCAGTGCTGTGGAAAGAAGCAGAAATAGCTGCTTTCACTTCTCTGTTGGCCTGCGGGCCCTGCACAGAAACAGGAACCAAAGCAAGGTTAAGCAGGGTTTAAAGGAACAAGACAGTGTTCGGCAGAAGGAGGGAGAAGCGCATGAGCTGGCCAAGCCTAGCAGCAGAGCAGTGCCTGTAAACTGCTGGTGTGTCCCCAGGGAAACGAGGGACAGGGGAAACAGCAGAAAGCTGGGCAGCACTGAAACACACAGCACACGATACAGCCCAAGTCCCCTTGTCTCGATAGACAGCGCTCTAGAATCGCGGTGACCTTCCTCCTGCCCTTGTGAGGCTGAAATATGTAGCGCAGCTGCAGGACATAGTTCATCGTTTATCAGGGGTAAATACAGTTCTGGATGGGAACGGGGAGGTGAAAAGTGTTCGGCACACAGCGTTCGCTCGCGTGTTGTAACTTGCTGCTCTGAGAAAACAGAACGCTTTGTCTTCTGGTAACGCTGGTGAGTGACTCCTTATCATAACCTTGCAAGAGGTTTCAAGTGCTTTCATGAATAGGAAGATGATTAAGATGACACATCAAGGTTTTCCGAGTGCTTATTGCTATTCAGCAGCATCCTCAGTGTTTTTCTTAGTTTTCCTTCCAAAACAAGGTGTTTCTAATCGCTGATGTGATTGGTAAACCACATCCTCTCACTCTTGGTGGCCCCGCTTGCTGTGAAGCTCAAGCAGAGCGATAGGAAACTGAGTTTAAATGAGGAGCTGTCAGAGCCACAGCAGATAATTTGGCTGAAAGACACCGAGGTGACCTCTGCAGAGGAGGCCTCCCTTGCTCTGAGCAGTCGCTGTGACAAAACCCAAGGCTAAAAATGAAGTGACCTGACTAAAGAGCTTAGGGGGAGAGAGGCTAACTGGGGGATTTAGAAGATACGGTTTGTAGAGGAGATAGAGAAGATAGCTGTGTAGCTGGGGAACAGCTGAAAGTCTTGCTCTGAACGCATCCATAAATCATCATGCCAGGTAGGGTATTTTCTCTTCCCCTGACTGTTTTGCAGGCTGGGAGCCTGCTTCGTCCACAGCTGCTTCTCTTCAAGAGTCCATTAGAGTCCCGAGTCTGGGTTTGGAGCAGGCTGTGTATGAAAGATGTAATGCTTGTCTCTGCCATGCAGCTGGAGAGTTAGGTCTGCAGACTGACTAAAGTGCCTTTTTTCGAGGAGAGGACTCATATTAATTACCCTACATCTAAGGAGATCTAATTTCAGAAGCACAAGGACGCAGAGGGGAAAAAAGGAAGCCTGATTTTTCCAGAGCTGAAGCGATGGTATCGGATGTGTGTCACCTGGAGTGCCTCTGGGCCCTCTGGCCACCCTGCTTGTTAACAGAGGAAAGGAAAATGACTGAGGCCGATCTTTTCAGTGACAGACACCCCCGGAGTGCAGATGGTGTCTTTTGCATAGGGCTGAGGGGGCTGCAAGAGACAGTGCAAGGGCTGAAAGGTTTTCCCAGGTGTCTGATTGCTTCTGGGGCTGTAAATGAGTCCTGACCATGCAGATCAGCAGTACAAGTTTCACCATGCTTGCAAAGAGAAGTAGCTGTGGTGGTTTCCTTTTCTTCGAAGTGTTTTACACTTTCTGCAAAGCTGTGTTTGGGGTACATGCATTATAGGCATGCCTGGTTCAGAGGAGGTCAAGTTAAATTTATGTTGTAGCCTCATTTCCTTGACTTAACAGGGCAGAGAGAGAAATTCCAGGAGCCATGCACCTTGAGAGTTATTCCAAGTTGGTTCCAAAGAGCAAATGCAAAAGTAGGTATGCTTCTTGACGTTGCCACCTGTGGCACATAGCCCTTCGTATCTGCTTTTCCAGCTCATCCCCCTTAGCTCTGTAGCCCCAAGGGCCCAGTTGACACCTGCTCCTTGCTATCTGGTGCCCTCTGGTGCTGCAAATACCTGTCCAAGATGTCCTATCACACCCTTGTGCAGGTGTGGGGACCAGCAGGTACCCCAAGGGGGATTTGTGAACTGCTATCTGCTTTCTCCCCATTGCAGCCTGGCTGTGGCAGGGGCCCTCCAGTATGACACGGTGCAAGTGGGACTGGGGCTGGGAGGCAGGAAAAGCTAGTCCTGTTCCAGTCAGTGATGGGGAAAAGTGAGAACTGGACAGGCTTGCCCCCCACCCCTACACCCATCTAAGTATCTCCACCTTGCTTTACTCTCGTCCCTTCCCTATCTTTAGCCCTCTAGCTCCTATCCCCTCTTCTACCACCCGTTCCCTCTTTATAGTTGCCTGATCTCACTGCAGAAAGCCTCATCCCTTTTTCCTCCTCCAAAACACACCTCCTCTTCCCCTCAGATGCTGTTCCCACAACAGGCAGTCTCTGAGCCCGCTCCAAACACCTCCTGGCTCAGGAATGCTCGGACCTTACACGTGCTCAGATCCATTGTTCAGAAAACAGGATTACAGTATCTCTCCTGTCCTTCATCTCCCCTCTAATTAATCAATGCTAATTGATTGATTGATGGTGGCTTTCTGGGGCAACAATCTCCCAGGTCCGAAAAGCAGCCACATGCCTATCATTCTCACGTATCTGCCCGGAGCATATGGAACGTATTAACCTCCCGAAATTAGTTAGAGCCTCTTCTAAATTAGTTTGTAGGAGCTGGCAGGGCTCGTCTCTCTGAACTAAAAGAAAGCTGATGACAGAGGCAGATAGCAACGGCAGGCTCACGGGTCATTCTTTCAATCCAAGTAGACTTCACCCTTGCAGGGAAGGAGCGGATCACATCGTGCCTTCAGGGTGCACTCTCTGGTTTGCAGACACTCGTGTGTCCCCAGCTTCTGCGTGAAGACCCAAGTCACCGAGCCCTTCTCTCCTGCTCCAGCACTCATCTCAGATTCCTCAGCCTTCCCTCCTTAGGCTTTTTTTGGGATAGCCTCGCTGCTGGGCTTTCAGAGTTGCAATCAGATGGCTGCTCCCATGCTGCTGGTGCGGTTGGGAGTAGCCGCGGTAAGGAAGGGCCATCGTCACCTACTCACCTACTGTGACCCCATACAGCGGCTTGTTTGTGATCTCATTACCACCAGGAGATCATTGGGCATGGTCTTTCGCAACAAATTCACAACCTGAGGACCATCCACGTGATAAATATCAGTACTCTGCCACAGGGAACAATTGTAGGAAGAAAACCATCTGATTCTTTATTTCTCTATTTATTTATTTTAACAAAGCTCACTCTTGGAAACAGCTGAACGGGTTAAACAGAAAGATCTCCTCCCCAAACTCAACCAAACCGAACCCCCAACCCCAACAAACAAGCAATGAGCTGTAGGCGAGCACGAAGCTGGAAACATGTGATTTGGAACTGATAAAGGGCTGGCAGAGCTGTGAGCAACTAAAAATGGGCTCTTATAAAGACAGGTTGGGCAATCTTAAAAAAAAAAAAAGCGGTGCTACCAGTCCTGTCAATGAATACTTAGATATGGCCCTTGCAGATTGCAGGTCGCTTGCTGCCATGCTCGCTGGTGACTCATGTGGAAGATCGCTAATTGAAGGATAGCAAATGGCCTGCTGTGGCCTGCAGCCATTATGAGCTGCACATTTTTTCAGGGATGCTTGTTGCAATCCCCTCTTCTTCTGGAGATGGGGTGTGGCTCTCCCATTCCTGGCAAAGTGGCTGGTGCTGGCTTTGGTTGGGAAAATATAGGTGCTGCTGCATGACAAGCTAGGCGTCCCCCGGGGGGGATGTCACCTTCCTCGCCAGCACAGCATCGGGGTGGGACAATGCCCTAAAGCACAACAGAGCCACACGCAGATCTGTCAGCTCTATCCAGCATGTGGTTACGTGGATCAGGCTCATGGAAACGCCTGAATCATCTTTCACACTATTCACATAACTACATTAACACAATCCAGTCCTCTTCTTGGGATCTGGGCGTTATGTTCTCAGACTACGCTTCCTTCTCCTTCTTTCACCAGAGATCTCATGACTCCTGTCCCTTGCATAATCATTCATGCTTGTGTCCAAATCCCCCAGCCAGCACTGAGAAGTTGCTCTGTCCAAATTTAAGTGCAGGTCCCCCAAGTTTCTTTGGCAGTGGCGCATTGGGCAGCTCTCTCTCCATGCTGAATAGGGAGGAGCACAGCACTCAGCCCTGCAGATGATGAAGCTTGGGTACCACTAACCCTGCAGCTGACCTTATGGTGGGTGAGACAACCCCTACACTTCCCTGTCTCCTTTGTGCCTTTCCGCTGCTTTGCCCCAGAATTTGCTTCCTTGGCCATCCCAGGATGTCTGGGGTCACACAGCAGAAGACAGGGCACCATGATGCAGGTACACAAATCACAGAATCGTAGAATCACCTAGGTTGGGAAAGACCTTAAAAATCATCAGGTCCAACCATCAACCTGACCTACTGAGTCCCATCACTGAACCTCGTCCTTTAATGCCACATCCACACGTCTCTTAAGTAGGGACGTGCACTGCACCACTTCCCTGGGCTGCCCATTCCCATGCTTGGCCAGCGTGGGTGAATCATGGGCTTACTTTTGCAGAGGCTGCAAGGAAGGAGCAAGCTGGTGAGTATTCTCACAGATATTGCATCCAGCCTGGCAGGCAAAGAAAAAAAACTGCCCTCATTTATAGGAAGCCATCGGCTGCTGTGCTAGTCGAGACTGATGAAGTTTGGTATCTTGCTTCAGACAACAATGAGCACTGGCTGCTATGTGATATACTACATAAATACTGTAGTAAAACAGATGAAATCATTCACTGTGAACATTTCTCACTGTCCTACTGATAACGAGGTCACTAGTTAACCATGTCACCAACTGGTGACCAGCATGGGCTGGGGAGAATGAGGGCTTCACACTGAGCTACTCCACTTGCTATCCTACATGATTCCTCTCACGTGGATGAAACAAAAATGAGGAAAGAATGAAATCTCCATCCTGTTTCTTCAGAAACCGATGACAAACCTCTCATTGTTCTCAAAGGTGCGGGATCAAACCTGTTGTTATCTCACACGGAGCGCGATTAATATCGTGACTAAGACTGAGCAGTGCGTCAAAACCGATCATCTCTAAGTCTGGTTGGCAAGGCTTTAAAGGAGCTGAATGAGGTTGTCAGCTGCCTTCTTCAGTGACAGTACAGCAAACTACCCCATATAAACCTGTCACTGTATGTACAGGTGAAAAATGCAGGTGAGCAATATTTTACACACACACACGAAACTCATAGTGTTACAAAGAACTGAGTGAACAAGGCATTTTTATTTTTAATTTTTTAGGAAAGTGAATGATGAGATCTCATTACCCAGAATCAGGATGCATCTTGCTTGGTGAAATTAAAAAACAGAAGTGTTCTTCAAATCCCTAGTTCAGAAGCATTCAGAGGGAGGCAGTTCAGCAGCACGGGAGAGATGTGCTATTCCTAGAAATCTCCTGACTCAAGTCCCATCCTGCATCTGTCAGTGATTCAGTAGCATGGCAGTTGTAACTGCACACAAGAACACTTCTGTTAGCAAGCAGGAAGAAGCTGGTTGGAAGCACCAGGATGAAGATGAGCTGTGGGGGTGCCGAGGTGGAGATCACACCTGGTTGGGGCACTGAGGCCAGTGATGTGGGCAAGGTGGTCAGGACTGCAGGGGGAAATCTGAGCTGCCTGTCACTGGGTGGGGAAAAGAGAGGTGGATGCACAAGAAGCATAAGTTTGATGGGCAGTTAACGAGGCAGAAATGAGAGATAACAGTACTTCATTTCTATTTGTTTATCTAGTAATTCGCTTAGCTTTTCCTTTAAACAGAATACTTTGTATACAAAAGCACTGGCTGCAGCACTTAGATGCTTTGCACATTGCATGTAGACCTCTGTAGGCTTGCTGACATCGTGGTGACATGGCTGGAGAGAAGATGGATCCCCAGCAGACAGCCAGATAGCCTCCCAGGGAGAGGTTCTCGAGGTTTGACTACTTCCATGTGCATCTACTCAATTTCACTTTCTCTGCTGAAGATCTGAAACAAAACAAACCCAAACAAACAGCAACAGCGAAAAGCAAACTCTGCTCTATTTATGAAAGTGATAACGATGACATAAAGACAGAAATAGAACAGAGAGGTGATTTCAAAAATGGAGATGATGCATGTAGTTCCTGAAACTAGAGATTTCTTCCAATGGCTCTTCAGGGAGAGAAGAATCTGCTCAAATTATCCCAAAGAGAGATTACAACTCCAGTGATTAAACTCCTTGGGACAGTAATGTGCCTAACAAGGCTGATGCCTGCAAGGGATGCTTAGTTTCAAGCACAGTTCCAAAGGGAGAAAAGGTCTTCCTGCCAAATCTGAGTGGTTTTCTAGGCTGAAATGTTTGCTGATGACTTTTATGTGTGAATAGGTCATGTCAGCGAGCTATCTTGCTCAAACAATCTCAGTTACATTGGTTTTATTGCTAACTCCTTCTGACAGCCTTTTGGAGAGAGGAGAGGACTCATGAATGCAGAAGTACATCTTCATTACTTATTTCTTTTCCTTTTTACCAGCACATGAATCTAAAATGGCCTTGCTGCCCTCTTACCGTAACTTAATTGCATGGATCGGAATTTAATTCATATTAATTTTCTGGCCCTAAATGTTTGAAGTCCAGAGCTAATCCAAAGAATCATTTTATTTCATTAAGGCCTCATTTTCCCCACTGGTTCTTACTCTCTGTGCCATGAATGTTTTGTGACGATCTTTATTTTAGCCATTTAGAGACAGACATCTGAGCTATTCTTAGGGAAGTAAAATGGTTTCTGGCAGTCAGTGCTTGCAATTTTTTGGAATAACACAATTTGTAGCACAGAAAAATCGGAAAGGCTGGGAGATCACCAGGGAGTCGATTACAGGATGGCGGCGTTGTCCTGATTCTTCCATGTTGTAACGCAGGAGATCCAGCTTGTGACAACCCCAAACCACACCGAAGCCTCGGGCCCTGACAAAACCCATCCCCCCGTGTGCTCAGGGTGATCGGTGCATCCCCACTGATGTTAACTCCGGTTCAAAAGAGGGCAAGAGCTTCCAGCCAGATGCACGGGTCTGCGGGGCACGTCTGGGTGCATGTGGCATCACCACCAAGCAGAGGCTGTCATCCATGGCCCTGCATTTGGAAGAGCGTTGTAGCAGTGCCACCAACAAGGCTGCTGGGGACAGCCACGTCCCTGCGGTGCTCTTGGGGTACCTCAGCTCTCACTTAAGCAACTGAGCGAACATCCAGGAAGAGAGAAGGGTGCTGTCCTGCATGCATCACTTCCTATACTTTGCCCAGTCTCTAATCTGCAGCTGCTGTGGACTTTCAGCACAGAGCTGCTTTGTCTGAATAAGCAGCAACGGCATCTAAAGAAGCAATAGATTTGGAAACCGAGACAACTGGAGCAATCACACTTTGATCTCTGGCAAAGCCCAGGGGCTTGATTGTTTTCCAGTGGAAGGAGCCGAGATAAATGAGTTTTCGGGAGTAGGGAACTCGAGGAGTTGAGGCTGGAGGTGGATTAGAGCGAAGGGTTAGGGGGTGCACCCTCTGCCGAGGATAATGAGGGCAGTCACCAGCGAGCCGCAGGGTCCTCTCACTCCCTGGCACTCCACGGGGCTCACACGAATTTCGGAGGAGCTGGCAGGAATGTTTCTTTCCACAGACCTCTGCCACCTCCTTGGAAGTCGATCAAACCCGTTTTATTAAAACCTCCCATTTGACTCCTCGTGTTTTTATACTGATTAAGAACCCTGCCTTGGCCAGCTGAACAAGGGGACTGATTGTAGCTCAGCTGCTTCGTGCTGGAAAAGCTTTGATCGGGCTGAGTGGGAGTTTATGTTTAAGGTACTGTATAAAATGAATTTTGGTGATAAGCTTATAAACTGAATTTGAACCTTGCTGGGCTCCAGAGAGAAGGAATAAACAACTCGATTTATATTCTCCACAGATACACACCGAGATGTCCCTTTGACCTTCAGTTATTTTCCTTGGGGGGTCAAACTGTTTCTTAAACTGTTTGAAATTATTTGTCCAGATTAGCTGTCCATGCTGAAGATGGAGAGCTTTCAGGGTGGCTCCCAAGAGCCCTGAAGCCAACTATAATGAATGAGTTTGGTGTTTTACTCTGAGGAGAGAAAAAAAAAAAAAAAAAAAAAAAGAGCTGAATGAATTACAGAGCTGCCAAATAGCCCCGGTTCATTCACACAAACTTGAGGATAATGCGCTTCTCCCGATCCCAACACGATAGCATTAGAATAGCCTATTTCAAGGGCATTCATGTCTGACATCTTCTCTCCCTCATTACTCACCAGCCTCTATCGTTGTACGCAGCAGTGAGCTGCAATTAGAAGGCGCTGGGATCTGACACGAAACCCTGAGGAGCATGTAGGGTTCGTCTCCCATTGATGCCGAAGCTGGGGACCAAACCTGAAGCGGATCCAAGTGGAAGCGAGGTCAGATGGTCTGCCTGGGAGAGATCTGCTTTGGAAGAAGAGGTTGTGATCTCTCTGGACAAATGTCTATGCGTTTTATCAGAGAAGTCATCCAGCTGATGTGCAAGCCCTACAGCTGTAGGAAAAGAGAGTTTAGTTTGTGTTTTCTTGAGGCAGAAGGCTAGAAGCGAGAAGTCCAAGGTTAGGCTCAGTGATGGCTTTCTGCATACCTGTCTGAGACACCACAGCACCCTGAGCTTCCACAGCCATTCCCCCTTCCCTGCCTCAAAATTAGTCTGCTCCATTTATCATAATAAAGGGAACATTTTTTTAAACCTGGCTCACAGTTCATGCCCTGTGCCTGTGTATCTGCCTCTTTGTTTCTCCCAGTGACTTGTGACCCTGACGCCCAGCTCCAGCCAAGAGTCACTGAAGTGTAGAGGTTTCGGTAACATCAAAGTTAAATCAAGTTTCCAGAAAACTGGGAACTGAGTAGAGGAGAGTGAGTAATGCTTCAAATATTACCTCTGCTGAAAGAGAAGTCTTGCTGGATCCCAGAGGATCCCAGTGGGGAAGAGGAAAGGGGGACAGAGAGACACGTAAGAAATCAGGCCTTATTTGTTCATTCTGTTGTGCATGGTCAATGTGGGTTTTGTTTTTGATTTCTCATCAAAACCTAGTTATCTAAAGCTTTCTGGGGATTTGAAGTGTAAGTGGGTATACCAGCAACCAAAAACTCCTCCCATTAGTCCTCATTTGTTCTCAGCAGGGTGCCCAGAGGGGATCAGAGCTCACTCAGTGTTGACTCTGCACCCTGACAGGACTGAAGTATAGGCAGCAGAAACGCTGAACATACCCAGGGAGCAGGACTAGTGGAAGCTGGAACAGACCCATTAATCAACCAGTCTCACCGTACGCTACGGGAACGCAATAATGCAAGAGGCAGATTGCAAAGCCTAATTTGTGATCTGGGACCCCGTTCTTCGGGGTAAAGTTCTTCTGCTTCTAACCTACCCCGCTGGCTCTGTTTGTATACAAGTAACTATGGGAAAGGATACCATGCACAGTCGGGCTCTGCAAGCCTTCCGAGAGCGTTATTGACTTCTCCAAACGCTGCTGCTCAGAAATCACAGGCTTCCTGCATGCTCAGCTTCCACCTGGATAGCTTTACTCTCAGGATACTCTCTTCATCACGCATTATTTGATTCTGCTCTGCCCTGAAATAACAAGGTTTAATTGGCAATCTGGCTCTGATTTACTAGTATCTCCTTGTGCATGGAAGGAGACCTCAAATTCAACGCACTCATTCTTAATCAATGTCAGCTTGGTATTAACTCCATGTTATTACATTATTGATTTTATTCATCCCAGGAGCTACATCAATTTATCCTGGAATTTACACTTCTTTAACAACCAACACAAATCAAGAACATTTGTTACGCTTGCAATGTAGACTGGAAGGTTTTTGGAATCCGATCCTTATTTTCCTTTACATTTGTTTAGATTTCCCGTTAATCTGAATTCCTATCTTGCCCCTTTGAACTTTCAACCAACTGTAAATACTTTTGATAAATTTCCCTGCTAAAAACTGCATTGCAACATAGTTCTGAAAAAAATAAAAATAAAAATGATCGGCAACTGCAAAATACCCACTGCCTTCTGATGAATTGATATAGCTGGTTTGGGGAAATAACTGGTTGGGTGCTTTACGTTACACAGTGCCCACATGTAAACAATAAAACCTGTTTGTAGTCTCAGTCGTCCATTTGGTTCCATTAGACACAGTATAATCATTTGTAGCTTTAACTCATGTCTTGGAGGTGTGTAGCAAATTAAAAACATAGCGAAAAGTTGGTCCTTTTCCACCGCGTTTTACTGGCTGACTTATTTGAAACAGATAAAGAAATTCTGGGAAAGTTCATTGTCTGTTTCTGTATTTGTTAGGTCTTCCTCTGGCTGGACTCCGCGATGGCTGGAAGGATGATGTCAGAAGAGTGGGAAGTGAAAGCTGAAGGGGTTTTTGAAGTTGAAGCTGAAGTCGTTTTTTTATTTATTTAGTTTTTTAATTGGTTAATGTCTACACAGCTGAAATGATGATCTAGCATTTAGGAGAAAGGATGTGGGACTTCAGAGCAGTGCCTGCACTGGCCTGGGTGAACAGAGGTACATTTTAGAGAGCTAAAGCACATTTAGCGTCCTTCCTCATTCACAGAGAAACCCACTGCTGGCTGGAGAGCAAGGCACGAGTGTGAACCCTCTCTTCTGTACAGTAATTTTCCACTGCTGTATACTCAGCCTGTTGTTTCTGTCTGTTACCTGTGTGCAGTAAACATAAAACTTTCGGGATGTACTGTTCCTTAGCAGTAAGAGGATAGAGACCAGTCATAAACACAAAGAGGGGCTTTACTGAAAATAAAAGGGACGATACAGCTGTGTTTAAGTTAAAGTGCATGAGTAAGCTAGAAAAGGGAGGATTGCAAAATCTGTGTTTCCATGGCAATGCCACCCTTCAGTGTTACCTAACACGGCCAGGATTACATCATCAGAACAAACTTTCATCAGTTCATCACAGTTTAGCTATAGGCGACATGACACTGTGTTGAGCTCAGTGTGGAAGTGACGCTTTTACGAAAATTTGCAGGGAACCCCATCTGGCCGTAGCCTGGCACAGGCTGCCTTGGCAGGGAAGGCCACGCCACCCAAAACACTACATGAAAAATTCAGAAGTTAGAGGATTTGTAGGGACTTTCTCTTCAAAGTCACCAAAGCAGAGCTATCTTGGCCACACAGCTCAGGAGAATTTGGGGGACATATAGCACCAGGAGTTCCCACTTAAACATCCTTGTTTTGTGTTTCATGTCATCACACAGAAGTGAGTGGTGGATACCCATGTACCTGAGGGCTTGCAAGATTTGAAATGAAGACATACAGGGGGCAGGGAAGAGAAAACAACCCCAGAAGGGCTGAGGCTGGCAGGGCCCTCTGGAGGCCACCTGCCCCTAACCCTGCCCAAGCAGGGACACCCAGAGCAGGCTGCCCAGGACCACATCAGGTGGCTTCTGAAGGTCTCCAAGGAAGAGACTCCAGCACCTCTCTGGGAAACCTGTGCCAGTGGGCAGCCACCCTCACAGGAAAAAGTGTTTCCTGATGGACTTGCTTTGGATTTGCCTGTGTGGACAAATGCATTTTTACTTTGATAATACAGCCAGCTTCATCTGTGCCAGAAGCCTTATGTGTGAGGCGTTCCCCTAGAGCTGCCTGTGATACTGAAGTGTTCTGGAGAGGTGTAAGGTGTCTTCTCAGACTGAGAGGTGTGTCAGAAACCCTTCTCCAGGTCAGACCTGGGACCACTGAAGCACCAAGGAGACCACAAACCAGAGCACCACGGCAATGCTTGTGGCAGCAGGAGGAGATGGAGCAGCTGTGGAAGGTGTGAACCATCCCTGCCACTTTTCCCTCCTGCCCTGGATAAGGGGTGAGTGAGGAGCAAGCAGTGCCTCCACCAGCACCAGGTATGGCCATGCAAGGTTAACCCATCAGCTTTTTTAAACAAACGTGAGCAGCCAGAGCTGATTTATCCAAGCTTTGCACTGTGTGGCACATGGCTTGGCATGAGGCATGCTGAGGCTGGTGTTGGGATATTGCTGAATCGTGGCCCTGAGCTGTGGCAGAGGCTTGGCTGTGGTGCCTGCAGGGCTGGTTGAGGTGCCTCACCTTGGGGTGGAGGTTTCGGCGTGTTCACCTGCACTGCTGGTGCTTCTGTTGCTGTGACTAAAAGTCCCCGTCCCCCCGGGCTGAACCCCGGCCTCCGCAGCAGCGTCGGGCCTGCACCAGCTGCGTTGTGCAACCCTGACCATTAAAATATCTTCACTTGTTGCTGGGACTCCATCATTTCCCGTTTGCTGTCTGGGCTCAGATCGGTGCTGCTTCAAGGGTCCATGTCGGCGAAGGTCGCCGAAGTCAGATTTCCACACACGGGGAACACGGTTCTTACCCTACCCCGTAGCCATGGTGACTTGTTTTCTTTTAAATTCCTTCCCCTTAGGTTCAATGCTATCTTTAGATGTCATCCTGTTTTGACAAATGTGCGTGCAGTTCCTGATGCTATCAGGGAGCTATGGCATGACAAGGACTGGCTTAAGTAACAGCTGCATAACTGTGTCAGGGATGAATGATGCGGCTGGTGCCCTTTCTGGAAGCGCTCCCATTTTCTGTGATTCTTGCTCTGACCCCGCACCCAGTGGTGGACTGGCTTGCCCCTCCTCTGTGGGTTTTCATCTTTCTTCCTCTCCAGATCTTGTGCAAGGACCTCCTCGCCACAGAGTTTTGCTTGCACTCCAGACTTAGGGAGGCCATACAGAGGCCTTCCAGCACCTAAAGGGGGCCTGCAGGAAAGCTGGGGCGGGACTCTGTCAGGCAATGCAGTGATAAGACAAGGGGTAATGGTTTAAACTGAAAGAGGGTATGATAAATTATCTATGAGGAAGAAATTCTTCACTGTGAGGGTGGTGAGGCCCTGGCACAGGCTGCCCAGAGAAGCTGTGGATGCCCCATCCCTGGAGGTGCTCAAGGCCAGGCTGGATGGGGCTTTGGGCAACCTGGGCTGGTAGGGAGGTGTCCCTGCCCATGGCAGGGTGGTGGAACTGGGTTGGTTTTAGGGTCCCTTCCAACCCAAATCATTCTGTGATTCCATGATTTCAAAATGCGAGAGGCTGGAGAGTTGGGGTGTGCAAGGCAGTTAGGGTAGGGAGATGGGAACTGAGGCTTTGAGGTGGTTAACCCTACTGATAGCTAATGAGGCACCAACAGGCTGGAATATGGACCTAGAAGTGATTTCCCTGGCTCACAGCACAGGCCAGTTGCGTTCAGGACACTGGTGAAATGGGCTTCCCAGCAGAGGTCATGGAGACAGAGGGCAAGTGAAATGTTGTCCTCTGAGGTCTGAGGTCTTGTGGCTGGTGCATGGTTTGTGTATCTTTATTCCTTTCAAAAGTAATTTATGCCTCTGTTATGTGATAATATCATGCACAGCCAGTGAAAGTTGAATGCCAAATTGAAAGTTGAATGTGAAATTGAAAGTTTTGTCTTTTTTTTTTTTTTTTTTTTTTAATTCAAAGGGAACCTTAAATTTGCCATGCTTAAGTGATGCAAACATTTTGTTTTGTTTTGTTTCCTGCAACATTTTGCATTAAACCTCTGATGCTCTGGATACAGCAGCCTGTCTCTCTGCAGGTGTGTGTTTACCAGGGGTAACTCCACCCTACCAGCCTTTGCTTGTTCAAAAGCCAGTTTTCCTGACGGTTTTCCCTCAGAGTGGTGGGGTGAGCGGGGCACACACCTGCTCTCACGCTTCCTATTCTCTGTTGCTCGGGTCTGGTCAGGGCGAGGCTGCTGTGTGTGTGCAGCTGTTACCTGTGCAAATACAGCAAATACCACCCCAAAAGTTGTTCTGACAGCTAGAGGAGATGTACAGGGCAGTGAGGCTGTCAGCTGCTCCCTTGGCATCTCCGGCTATTTTTGCACCCCCATGCTTAACGGTGCTCAGAAGCCAAAGTCTGACCATTCAAGTCCATATGTCAGAGACATCAAATCAAAATATTATTGGAAATCTGGCCTAAATTATAGACCATACAGTGTGACATCACCTTCAGCTAAATCACACAATGACATTTCCTTCTTATAATGGACTGCATAAGCCCAAGCTTGAAATGGCTAACGAAATTATCCCTTCATTACACAGCTGATTTAATGCTAGTGTGCATTTGGAGTCGCAGAGGTGATCTTTAGCATCACACGTGAATTTTATGTTTCTTTAATTAACTGCATCATCCTGCACGTTGGCAAGAAGCAGTAATGATATGTCATCCTTCCACTGACCAGAAAGTTGCAGAGATACTCCTGTCGAGAGACAGGCTCTGAATACCACAAACCAGAAATATTTGAATAGTTAAATATTATATGCTCAAAGTACTTGCACTGTAATTGTAATAGTTCCTTGGTATAAGTAGCTGGGACCAAAACCAGTGCTATAGCTGGGACAAACATGTCCTTCCAAGCAATGTTTTGGATCCAAATAGCTACAAGACTTGAGCATCATGCAGGTTGTTGTAGGTAGGAGGTGCAAGGCATGATAAAATTAGGTCACTCATTTTTACTTGCAAGAGCATACTCGGCTTTTCCTAAGACACAGCCAGGGTTCAGGACCTGTCAGGCTTCCTTTCCAGGTCCCAAGAGCAGAATACTCCTGGTCTGCCCCTGAGCACCCGGCATCGAGCCAGGCTGGTGTGGTGGCACTGCAGCCAAGGTCTCCGAAAGTGGTGTCTGCGGCGCCGCTATCGGCTATGATCTCCTTTGGAAATAAGCTGACAAAAGGTCTCTGAAGTTGCTGTGTGCACACCCAGGTTTGCCGTGGCTTGGGAAGCAGGAGTTTTTTCTCACTCCGAGCCAGCAGCGCTCTACAGCCGGTTATGTTTTCTGATCCAAGTCCAACAGGTCTGCTTCTGCCTGTTGTCTCACCGCTCCTTTCCCTCACACACCCCATGCTCAACATGATGCTCAGGGTGCAGCACCCTGTGCATTCCCTTTCATACCGAGCCAGGCTGAGAAACTCCCCCTCCGCCCCTGCCCCTGGCTGCTCATTTCCCCTGCTGAGCCCCGGGTCACTGCCGTAGGGCAACCATCACCAGCCCAGGGCATGGGAAGGGAGTCTCACCCTCCAAGAAAATGTGCAGCAACTCCACCCTTGGCCAATCTTCTCTGCCCAGAAGTTAGAGCAGCTCAGGTGTTTGCTTTTGTTTTGGGTTTAAATACTTGTTCAGCTATCTCTCAGAGCTATCTTAAATGAAGGGGTGTGGTGAAACTGCCTAATTTAACCCAGCCTGGGACATCTGCAGATGGACGGCCCATCTCCATGAAGCCTTTTTATCCTTTTCATTTAGAGTGCTTGAAAAGTTGACCATTTATAGACTGTTGACACTCTTCTTCTGGCTTAATGAGAGGTAGTCTATATTTGCTGGCAATCAAGACAAATAAAGTAAGCCCTCCCAGAAACAGAAAAGGCCCCTGCAGACATCTGAACCATGTCTTTCAATGGCTGGGTGAAGGCCTAGGAGAGATTTGGTTGCGCACCGGATCACGCTTTGAGGAAAGAAGAAATTGCGGCATGCTCTGGTTGTTCCTCCCCAAACTTTCATCATCTCCTCATCATTTCCCATCCTAGGGTTCTGCAAACCCCAGCTGCCAGGCAGAGTGCCTGCAAGACGAGCCACCTCCTTCCCAGATCAGCAGCTTGGTACTTTTGGGTACTGAACACGAAGAGCTAACTCCCAAATCCATAGTCACTGGAAAAATGCCCCTGGCTTTCACAGGGCTAGGATTTCAGCCTAATGAGTGCTCTGTAGCTGAAAAGCTACGGGCCAAACACACCCACAGGATCCAAAACATACATCTCCAGCAATCTGTTCTGATTTTAATGTATTTGCATATAATCTTCTTGATGAGGGTTTTCCCACTGAACTCCTGCTCTGACATGACAAGGAATGTTTAAGGCAGCAAAATGGAAAACACAGCAGAGAGAGATGAACACCTAAACACAGATGAGAAGGGCAAGCATCATTAGCTTTTCTCCACTCTGCTTTCCCTCCTTCTGGCCCTATTACCATCTTTTTTTTGCTTCCAGAGGTTCTCCACAGTGGCCCCAAAGGAAATGCCGGTGGTAGCCTGTTCCTCATGCTTGTGCTTGCTCGTGTACATCGCAGTGTACGTTGGGTCTGCACCAAGCTTGCATGCACATCCCTGGCCCACAGCTATTTTTTCTCCAGCACTGGATGGATTTCCAGATCTCCAGAAAGGGGGATCCCATTCTTCTTCTTGCTGCTAGGGCCTTAGAAAGTATGTTTTTAGTCATACAGAAGATACTTCTGCGCCTCAGTCTTTTCTGTACTTACCCCTTTGTGACAGAGCAGTGCTGTTACTCACTTTCGTGGACTACCTGAGGTCACAGAGCACGTGAAAAGAGAGAAACTGAGCCCTAGGTTAATGCCACAAACATGGGGCTAACTACCCCTCTGCAGTGCTGGACTCACCTTTGGGAAGAGAGAAAGAGGTAGGTGCCTTTTCTCAATTCTGGTCACTCCCACACATCCAATGGCGGTGGCACACATTTCTTTCCTTCTCTACTATTTTCCTAAGGAAATGTTGTGTTTACTCCTGAGGAATAAGGATCCTGGCCACATTAGGTCGGTCTGTGGCAGGCAGTAGTGTTGTGGGTCCTGCCCGGGGTTCAGATACTCTGCAAGGTGCTCTGGCGAGGGCCCTCACCACAACGCCTCTCCCTGCTCGCAGCACTGCCAAGCCCTGGCAGGGATTTCCAGACATCTGCCAAGTCTGGTCTGGAAGAACCAGCTCTAGGTAGGAACAGACTTCCAGGGCCAGCTGCACACACCAATACTGATTAATGCCTTTTTATTTTTCCAGATACACCCCAGTCCAAGAGGGACTAGACACAGACCACCAGCAATACAGATCAGTCATTATATCAGGGTGCTTTTCTTTTTTTTTTTT